ATAATACTTGCGTCCAGTTCTTAGCCATCCATGTTCAACTTTTTTCTAAACCTGGTTTTGTACGGATGGGTTGCCAAAATGCCAAACAAACTAACCACTTTCTTGTTCTCAATGACAATAGAAACTTGTTAGCGTTTAAGATTTAACAGATAGGCAACCACACATTTGGGATGCAATGCACCTAAACAGTTAAAGCTTCTATCGTGTATTTGAACGGTTGCATGGTTTATCCCGGCTTTTAACTAACTCCTCTCATTTTGCGCTTTCTCTTCTTTCTCTTTTTTTTTTCTTCTTACTCCAATCCCTCTTTAATCACTATTGGCATTTCCTACTTGTTTTTGTTACTTCCCTTTTATTTTGCACTTGCTTTTCTCTCTCATTTTGCCATTATTTCTTTCCCCTCAATTTCCTTTTATTTTCTCTCCTCTTTTTCCTTTTCATTTTATGGTTATGATCGAATACTATGGGGATTCCCTACGTATCATGATGCCGCATGAATCAGATCATTACGTAGTTTAGGGGATAAATGCAAAATAGAAGAAAGGTACATTCTTTTGGGTTTTCAAATTTTCCTAAAATAAAATAAAAAAACATACTGATTACAACGACTTCTCCTACATAATTAAACATAAATACTAATAGACTCGAAAGGTGGACTAACTGACTCTAAAAGAAGAATGAAAATACAGACTCGAAAGTGGACTAACGAACTCCAAAAGAAACTAAAAATATAGACTCGAACAATAAAATCAGAAATACATGAGTGCCTCAACTGCTGCTCCAGGGGCCCACAAGACATCAGTCGGTCTCGCCGCTGGCCTATGCACCATATCTTTTTGGAGGCAAAATAGGTCATCCATTATCTGCTGGACAAAAATCATAACTGAAGCGAAGAACATGGACCTGGTCATGTCCTCGCATTCGTTGCACTTCATCACAATGTAGTCCATAATCCTCCTAACCCTCTCCCTGATAATACACTTCTCTTGTAGCAACCATCCGATCTGCTGTATTCTGCCCCTAAAACTTGTTCGGCTATATTATTTTGCTCTTGAAGCTGTTGCATGTCTTTTTCTAGCCGCGACATCAGGGCATAGTAGTGTTCTCTTTCTGCTTTGAAGTCTCTTCCCTGCTTGGTCATCTCGTTCTCAAGGACATTGACCTTTTTCTTCAGACCCATGATTCCTTTATCATACTTTTCCTTCAGCTGCCAAACGAAATTTGCATGTCCCTCGGCTTTCTTAGCTAACTTTGCTCGAGCCTGTTCTAGTTAAGATTCGGCCTTTTCCAAGTCAAATCCGTAGTCACCTACTTTCTGCCTAAGATTGTCTATAAGTTTCTTATCCTTTTCACTTCTGGAAGGGTTCTCAGCTGCTATCTTCATCTCCTGGATTTGGGCTCGGAGGGTGTCATTTTCTTTGGCTAGCTTTTTATTTTCACCCTCATCCGCAGCGGCTTGCAAACCATTCTCAAATTGAAAATTTCTCACTTGTTTTTCCAGCTTGCTTATGGTGGCTCTATACTCATTTTCTTTGGCTAGCCAATCCCATTGTCCCTATGACGCTTAGACAAATTCTTGAAAATGGGGTCTTTTGGCTAGTCTTCGAAATTCAAAACTTCTTTTATACCAAGCGAGGTAACCAGATGAGACTTCACCCTTGGATAGATCACGCACTCGGGTGTTTGCTGTCAAGTACTGGCATTTACTCCAGATCTGTCAAACCGCCGCTTCATCAAAATTGGCCATCACAATGGATCTCGTTGCATGAGTGATAAGGTCTTCGTCTTTTGGAACTATTTGGCATCTTCCCAACTGTCTCAAAACTCGGTACGAGGAATAAGGCTGGATAATTCTGAGATCCATCAAGAGGAAGTGAGTACCGGTGGCAGGCATGTATATATAACAGGAAGCCAACCCAATGTCCACTCTATTTTATCAACAGTTATGGAACAGAGGTAAATTATCCAATTTGTGACCCCTTTCGACATCTTGAACCCGTCGACCCTTGTATGAAACTCCTCTATGCAACGTTTCCCTGTCGACCCATAGTTCATGTACCGAGGGCGATGACATAACTGTTCAATCATCCATATTTGTAGCAACATATTGCACCCTTCGAAATAATTTGCTCCGGCTTTGCAGGCTGTGAGAACTCGTAATATTTCAAACACTATCATAGGTGTGAGGGTGCTTTTAACATTAGTTATCAAAGTGTTTACGACTCCGGCTACCCGCAGATCAATATTCTCGTCCTTCCTAGGCAACACTAGAAGACCTAGAAATGCTACCATGAAGGCGAAACATCTATGCTCTTCCCATTTTGGTCGATTCCTTTTATTGCAGATTCTGCTTTCCAGATTTTCAAACCCTCATACATGTCCGTACCGCTGGTATATGAAAGTTAGAGTGGAAAACCCCGCCGCCAAATCTGCATACTGGACCACCTGCTTATTTTCAACAAATCCAGTAACTTGTGAGGGGTAACAGCCCTTGGAGCGACCAGGTATTTATGTCTTTGTCCCTCGGTACTCATGACATATCCCGTTATTTCCTCCAAAGTGGGTGTAAGTTCAAAGTCCAAAAAATGCAGAAGATTGTGAGCTGGATCCCAAAATGTTACTAGTGCTTTGATTATATCTCCCCTGGGACTGATGTTTAGTAAACCGGTGAGCCCCCCCCCCCCC